TCTTAGCCTACCTAAAGAGCTCTCTGGGTTGCTAAGGGCGACGTAAGTAAATGATTATCTTATTATATATGTATATATACATATGTACGGATGGTGTGGAATCAAAAGCTAAACTTTTCCTTTTCAGATTCCCCTGGACCGGCCGTAACCTTTTGGTCGTCTCTTTCGACGAAACTTCGGCAATGTATGTATTCCCTTTTTTTTCTATTAATTTAAATTTTAGATTACACAGTAGGCAACAAAAACTAACTGTTCTTAATTATATAGATATTTCTTATTCTTATCTTAGAGCTACTCAAATGGGACTCAGAGTTGGACTGTCCCTCGGTTTCACTGCGCCTTGCCTCTAGGCTGGGGGTGGCAAAACGCTCTTGGAACGGACTCACTCGGTGCTATGGGTGTGGTCTCGCCTGTGTCAGCTTCGTTTCCAGCTGGGCCGAGTATTAAATTAGCGAATATTTTTCTTCACAAAGTTTTTAATTTTTATTCACGGCCGACGATTTTGTACTGCCCGACAATTTAAAAAAAATTAAATTTTTGGCGCTGCCTAATTTGTTTTACAATATATATATATATTATATGTATAAAATCGTTTGGCCTTTTTTGTTCTATATGGCGTGACGTTATTTTATTAAAGGTGAGTTAATTTTGTAATTTTTTCCGGCACCATTGATGTAAAATAAAATGACTGTGCTATTCCTTTTGGCCTGTTCAATTATTTAAATTAAATTTTTTTTTCTTTCAAAGGCGCGCTTGCGCACAACACGCTTGTCGTTCACCGCTGACCAAATCGAACTCCTTGTTGTACATTTGGGCAGCAACATCATCGGTGCCAAATTTCGGCACACGCATTCATGTACGAGGCGAGCACCGTTGCTTCCCATCTGCACAGCTACATTTTTTTGGGTCAATGGCCCAAATGAAGTCCAAGGGCACATCCAAGGGCAGGCGATCCGCTCTCCCTATAATCTCTTTAGGACCTAATCGGGCGGCCAATAGTAATCGCCCCTTTTGGCGCCGTGGATCGCAAGCCCGGCGTTTTCACTCTTCAATGAATTGGTCGCCGCTGTGTGCCCGGCTTCACCCCCGATACTCTGACCCTATGACCAAAAGATATCGCACGCAACCAACGAAGCAAACAATTGATGCTGCCGATAACGTAAAATGCAGCATCGCCACGCAGATTATTGTAAACCAGCGGTTGACATGTTTATAATTCATGTGCGTGCGCATTTTCTACCTTTGTTCGCCCAGCCGGCTAATTAGAATGCCCAACGTAGGCCACACCCACGACCCTGAGATGTCAGCACCGGGACTACAACGTCTCTGCAGGAGTTCCGTTCGGAAACCGAAGTCTTTGACGGGATCCGTGGCGCCAAATAATTAACCACAATATTCACTATCGCCAACAAAAATAACTTGCTTGCATACGTCCGTCCGTCTGTCTGTCCGTATGTATGAACGCAAGGATCTCAAAACCTGTAAGAGCTAGAGACTTGAAATTTTAGCTGTAGGTCCTCGTAGTCCACTTCTCAAAAAACAGGATTTCGATATCGATTTTTATCGATTACTTTGAAACGGGGCAAGTTATCGACTATCGGAAACAAACTCATCTGCGCGAGGACTAGGAGGACCTACAGCTAAATTTCAAGACTCTAGTTCTTATAGGTTCTGAGATCCTTGCGTTCATACATACGGACGGACGGACGGACGGACAGATAGACGGATATTCCTAGATCGACTCGGCTATTGATGCTGATCAAGAATATATATACTTTATGGGGTCGGAGATGCTTCCTTCTGCCTGTTACATACATTTGCACAAATACATTATCCCCTTTTTACCCATTTTCAATGGGTTCAGGGTATAAAAACAATTAACATTAAGATACATGAAATTAAATTAAAACAATTACCTAAACAATTTAAGCAAGTAAGAGGTTCTAGTCGGAAGCTCCTGACTAGAGGATACCCTGAACCCTCTTCTTCCAACACCAAATGCAAACAAAAATTAAAAAAAAACGTTTCCTTGGCAGGGTTGGAACTCGCAACTAACCGCACTACTTTCCGCCGCCTCTAATCAACAGCCACACCAGCAAAAAAAAAAAACTTCCCTCGGTTGGTCTCGAACTCGCAGCAGACCACACTACCTGCCGCCGCCTCTACCCAACACCCACACCAATTATTGAGACTTAATGAGTAAAAATCAAAGTAAAATAGCAGCACAGAAAACAATGCAATCGCAATTGCAATGCTGTTGAAAGAATTCAAAGAAGGCGCGCATGAATGTATGTGTGTACTTGTATACAGAAATTCTTTAAATTTGCACCTGCTGCTGCACGTGTTTGCAGGGCAAAACACATTTTCTTTCGTGTTTCTTAACCGATCTTGATGAAATTTTCAGTAGTATATCTTATAATAGTACTATAAAATATTCGTGTATTCTCAAAGTGGACTACGAGGACCTACAGCTAAAATTTCAAGTCTCTAGCTCTTACAGGTTTTGAGATCCTTGCGTTCATACATACGGACAGACAGACGGACGGACGTATGCAAGCAAGTTATTTTTGTTGGCGATAGTGAATATTGTGGTTAATTATTTGGCGCCACGGATCCCGTCAAAGACTTCGGTTTCCGAACGGAACTCCTGCAGAGACGTTGTAGTCCCGGTGCTGACATCTCAGGGTCGTGGGTGTGGCCTACGTTGGGCATTCTAATTAGCCGGCTGGGCGAACAAAGGTAGAAAATGCGCACGCACATGAATTATAAACATGTCAACCGCTGGTTTACAATAATCTGCGTGGCGATGCTGCATTTTACGTTATCGGCAGCATCAATTGTTTGCTTCGTTGGTTGCGTGCGATATCTTTTGGTCATAGGGTCAGAGTATCGGGGGTGAAGCCGGGCACACAGCGGCGACCAATTCATTGAAGAGTGAAAACGCCGGGCTTGCGATCCACGGCGCCAAAAGGGGCGATTACTATTGGCCGCCCGATTAGGTCCTAAAGAGATTATAGGGAGAGCGGATCGCCTGCCCTTGGATGTGCCCTTGGACTTCATTTGGGCCATTGACCCAAAAAAATGTAGCTGTGCAGATGGGAAGCAACGGTGCTCGCCTCGTACATGAATGCGTGTGCCGAAATTTGGCACCGATGATGTTGCTGCCCAAATGTACAACAAGGAGTTCGATTTGGTCAGCGGTGAACGACAAGCGTGTTGTGCGCAAGCGCGCCTTTGAAAGAAAAAAAAATTTAATTTAAATAATTGAACAGGCCAAAAGGAATAGCACAGTCATTTTATTTTACATCAATGGTGCCGGAAAAAATTACAAAATTAACTCACCTTTAATAAAATAACGTCACGCCATATAGAACAAAAAAGGCCAAACGATTTTATACATATAATATATATATATTGTAAAACAAATTAGGCAGCGCCAAAAATTTAATTTTTTTTAAATTGTCGGGCAGTACAAAATCGTCGGCCGTGAATAAAAATTAAAAACTTTGTGAAGAAAAATATTCGCTAATTTAATACTCGGCCCAGCTGGAAACGAAGCTGACACAGGCGAGACCACACCCATAGCACCGAGTGAGTCCGTTCCAAGAGCGTTTTGCCACCCCCAGCCTAGAGGCAAGGCGCAGTGAAACCGAGGGACAGTCCAACTCTGAGTCCCATTTGAGTAGCTCTAAGATAAGAATAAGAAATATCTATATAATTAAGAACAGTTAGTTTTTGTTGCCTACTGTGTAATCTAAAATTTAAATTAATAGAAAAAAAAGGGAATACATACATTGCCGAAGTTTCGTCGAAAGAGACGACCAAAAGGTTACGGCCGGTCCAGGGGAATCTGAAAAGGAAAAGTTTAGCTTTTGATTCCACACCATCCGTACATATGTATATATACATATATAATAAGATAATCATTTACTTACGTCGCCCTTAGCAACCCAGAGAGCTCTTTAGGTAGGCTAAGAGAAATTAAGCGATTGAATTCATATAAATAATTTATGTATAAGAATTTTTGCAACACCACTTTTTTATACATGCGCGAACGTTTAAGGAGCCAATTGCTCAATTTAATATTTATAATATTTGTTCTCCCACTTTGACGTGACGTCTTTACCTCTCTTTGTGTTGTTCGGCTACAAAAGAATTGTATTCTTTGGAATTAATACATATTGTACATAATAATAAGAATATACAAACCATTATACGCAGCTGGTGAAGAAATGTCCACGTGTATGAGATCGTAAATAACTGCAAAGAGAAAGGCAATAAGAGATGAGACTAATTGTAATTAATTTTAAGAATATGCAACCAATTATACGCACATATTGAAGGAAAAGAATGTCCGGCTAAATTTGAACTGATGAAGAGAGTGGGCATAACAGCCGACACGGGCTGATGCAGGCCATCTAGTGGCCAAAATGAGGGAGACGAGATCAGGCGATCGTCTCAGGTAGGGCGGGTACTCTGGGTCCGGAACCGGCACCCTATCTGGAAAAGTAATGTGGATAAATAGTATTTTTTTGTTAATTTATATTGACCGTTGTTGTTAACATTTTCGTGTTGTTACAGCTGTTAGTGTTGTTCATTTGTTAGAAGTTCCAACTGTTTGTTGTTATCGGTTATGTGGTTCATTTTGAATAGTGTTGTATAGGTATGTTTTGCTACAGACGTTGTAGCTTTGTTGGTATCGATTGTGCGGACTGCGGGCCTGGAATGGGACTACACCCAGAGAACCGATGAGCCAGCTGGCGCAGCCCACCGAGAAACAAGCAGTTCCGTAACATGCATACTACAATAGCTAATGCAATTAATTACATTATAAAAATAGCTTTTAATTGTATATCAATCTAAAAGTCGATATTTACTGACTCGTCATCGACAGTTAGCAACTTCCCTCTTTGAAACTATCAGACATTTTTAGTCATATGATGTCGTTGCTGCACGCAGGCTTATCTAGGAGGCCTTGCATATATGTCCTAGGAAAAGGTATTAGTGTTCAATTGCAAGGATAATTTTGTATAGCATTGTGTATGAGGTTAGCAACGAGGTTGTTGTACTCTTTTACGAATATTTCAGAAATGTTCTGATAGATTTTTACGAGTGTTTCAAGGTTGGTAAGGTGAATCTATTGGGTATAATCGTATATATGTGGTTTTCGAAATGTAGTCAGATAATAATTACATTTTTTATAATTAAAAATAAAAATTTATTTGGTTGTGTGCTTAAAAATAAAAGAAAAAATGCATAATAAAATGAGTGGTTCCGGAACGAAGTTCCAAAAAACGACGCTAAGAGATCGATGCTAGTTTGACGCACATCCCTCTTGCATGTATATGTCGAAAATAACTATATTTCCCGATCAATTAAGCATCATACCTAGCTTTTAAATATGCTGTGAGATGTCAACGCAGATAATGTTTGGTAACTTACGCGTCTTTAGAAGTGTCTTGGCGGCCGAAAATGTAATTCAGTTAATTCATGGTAAAACCAAATTAATCTATAGGAAAAGTCATGTGTAAGTAGCATACACCATAAATTATATGAACATATTAAATTCAATTCATATTTGAATACTGTTCAGACCTTTTTTATTATGTAATCACTAATTTTCTTATATATATATTTTATATGCTACATAGAGTTTCCTACCGAAGTGCCCCACCGCCTCACTCAAAAGCTACTACAATAGGAGCCGTTGCTGTTGGTGGAGCCATGTGGTGGTGGGTAATTTGGCATCTTTGGCATGAACCTGATCACATTACGGTTAGTATGGGCAAGTCAGATTAAACCGATATTTACATATATTTACAGGGAGAGTTCGATTACCCCAACACCTCAAAGTGGAGCAATTCCCACTTAGGAATCCCTCGGGACGATATATAAAGTGTTTTAAGTTCGAATTAAATTCATTGATGTTACGAAAACACTGAATAAATGTAAAAGCGGAAAATAGAGTAAAATACAATTTTCTAGCCTCTAGCGAATTAATTTTTCTTATTTTTATATTGATAAGCTTGAAAAAAGTATTATAAATTGTTCTATAAATATACAACGCATAGAAAGCACGTCTCCAACCCCATAAAGTACACATATCCTTGATAGGTATAAAAGCCAAGTTGATGTTGGCATGCCCTTGTCTGTGTTTGTTTCTCTGTATAATAGTCCTAGTTTCAAAACCATCGTCTTTCTGCTGCAGGCAGTACATATATTTCGGAAACGGTCGGATCGGAGCACTATATCCTAAAGCTGCTATAGGAACGATCGATCGAAAATTAAGTTCTTGTATGAAAACCTTGTTTTATACCCTTGTTTAATATAGTTTATCCAAAATATTTGTTTTAAATAGATTTTCAGAAAAGTCTGCATAACAAGTTTGACTATTTTCATCACAGAATTGCAAAAAAAGTCTAAGTTTCCACATCACTTGACTTAGTTGCTGCTCTTTGTGCTGCTTGAACAGAGCAACTTGAGTTTATTGACTCAGGCTCATATTACGCAGCGCGGACCGCTAGTACACTAGCTGGCTGTTTAGCTGACGGCGCATATCCCACGATACGCCACATGGCGACTGTGACATGGTCACGATTCCCTGCCCTTGAGGCAGTAGAACAAAAAAGCACATATCAATTAGAACACCCTAATTTAGGCCCAACTGACATTACTATTATGCGTTTGCACAGATAAATTGAAAATGTCAATAAATGGAATGGACGCAAATCGTTACCATTCTTAGAGAACAACGTGCCGAGTTTTATAAATCTTTCAAGTGCCTTAACAAAAGTGCACCGATTTCAAACGACACAAAGTTAAAACACGTTTAAGTTCTTGTAGATTCCTACAATACCAGCCGTCAATATACATACATATATGTAACAATGCAACAAAACTAAAATATTCGTATTTAATACAGACAGTCGATCTATTAAGCACGTTAAGAAAAACATTAAACGAATTTCGGATAGGCATAATATAAAAATATTTCTTCCAAATTCTCTTATCACTTCAGCGTCATTCAACGAGAAATTACTTTCAATGAGTCTTATAGAGTCTTCTTTGAGTCTTATAGACTCACTAAAAGAAGATCATGAAGCAACAGCTGTCAGTCTAATCAAAACAAAACTAAAACACCATGCAAGAAACTTGATAAGCAATGAGCAAACTATCGCTCAAATCATTGCAAAATTATCAAGCACAGTAAAAGGCGAATCAGTCGAAGTGTTGTCAGCCAAACTACTTAGCTTGCAACAAAAAAGCAAAACTGCCAACCAGTACACTCAAGAGGTTGAGCAGTTAACAAAAGCTTTAGAAGGAGCCTTTATGAACGATGGCTTAACGCCAGAATTGGACAATAAATATAGTACAGCCCAAGCAGTAAAGGCAATGTCCAAAAACTGTACAACCGATAAGGTAAAACTTATCATTCAGGCAGGCACATTCAATAGCATGAATGATGCCATATCCAAAGTTGTCAACAGTTGCACCGAAGCAACTGGACAATCTAATACTGTATTGTTATAACAATAGAGAGGGGCCGACCTTACAACAGAGGAGGTCAAAGACAATATTATAATAATAACTACAATAACAACAGAAGCAATCCTCGAGGCGGCTCAAACAGAGGACGCGGACAACAGAATCAGGTTCGAGTTACACAAGGTAACTCGGAAAACCAGCAAACCCCCTTGAGCAACCAACAGTAAAAATACTGAATATTAACCTAAGTCTCAGAAGTCTCATTAAAGTACATAATGGAAAAAATAATATTCCATTACTTTGCTAGTAGATACGGGAGCAAATGTCTCAATCCTAAAAAATAAAAACCTTAATTCAAATATTAATCAAAATTACAAAACAAATATCACAGGAATCGGAGAGGGAACAATAGAGAACAACTACTTCGTAATCAGTCACAATTTCCAAATAGTCCACAATTAATCTCCCATACAATGCGACGGCATTCTTGGACTAGACTTCATTAGAAAATTTAATTATCAACTTGATTAATTCATCATGAAGCCAAGATCACTTAATTATTAAATACATGTACCACTATTATATAATGATATTGACAATTCAATATTATTACCAGCTAGATCAGAGGTAATGAGAAAAATTTCGCTTCTGACAAATGAAGATACAGTTCTTATACCAAACCAGGAAATACATCTTGGGGTAAGAATAGCAAACAGTATCGTAACAAGTAATAGCGCAATTGCCTGTATTTTAAGTACCACTAGTAAAATCCCAAAATGAAATTTGAGTCACTACAAGAATATGAAATCAAAATAAATAACATCAATACCAGCAATTGAACAAATGAAGTCATACATAAATTAAAATTCCCTGACCAATTTAAAAACAAGCGTACTGATTTATGTACCAAATACAGTGACATATTTGGTCTAGAAACAAAAGCAGTTTCAAGATATAATTTTTATAAACAAAAATTAAGATTAGCAGACAAAACACCCGTATATATTAAAAACTACAGAAATGCAGAATCAGAAAAGCCAGATATTAACAGACAGGTAGAACCATCTATCTCAGAATATAATAGCCCACTTCTATTGGTATCCAAGAAATCTCTTCCAAATTCCAAGAAGAAAAAATGGTGTTAAGTAGTTGATTATCGCCAAATAAACCAAAAACTTTTAGCAGACAAATATCCACTGCTTAGAATTGAGGAAATACTGGACCAATTAGGGCGAGCTAAATATTTTTCATGTCTCGATCTTATGTCAGGTGTAAGGAAGCTACTGGCCGGGGTATAACTCTCAGTCTTACCAGGTCTAGCGAGTTACAAGATATTTATAATTTC